CGCCGCTGTCCCCGCCGGGACCCCGGGGCGCTCGGCCGGCGGCGGCCGCCGCCTCTGCCATCTGTGCGATGGGTCAGTTCTTGCGTCTCTCTGGCGCTTCGCACAGCCAAGTATTCTTTAAAATCGCATCGCTAGTCCAACCATTCTTCCAGAAGAATAAATACCGTGGTTTTTTAATAACTCTGGCTGTACCGGGCGATTGCCTTGCGCTGTCTTTTTCTGCTTGTAAGAGAGTAAAGGGAAAACGTATTTGAACCGGTAAAACATGTTTCTGTGGGGGAAAAATAGTAACGTATTTCCCTCTATATTGGGGATATATATCTTCCTCCTAATGTTGTGCTTGCTGGCTAATGGGTAAAATAATGGACAAGCGTCGCACCTCTTCTTGATGCTTGAGTGCCAACAGCTTCTGCAGGCAGGTTTGCTCCGTGTCCTCCATCCTTTTCGTGGCCCTGTCGTTTGAGCCGTGCTTTGTTTTGGCACAGGAACCTGCCTCTGTGGAGGAGCGTATTGGATCGCAGCCGAAATAATTCTGGATTTAGGTTTGAGTTCCCCAGCTAAAAGACGTGCTTGAGTTTAGTTGGTCTAAAAGGCAAAAAAAACCCAAACGTTTTATGTCCTGTGTCAAAATCTAAGAATGGTAGTATTTACAACTTCTCTTAAAAAACAAGAAATAAACCTCACTTACCACTTCTCTGTGGACGACATGAGAAATTGTCTGTAGACAGAGCAAGCAAAAATACAAAGAGAAAACGTGGACAAAAGGCACCAGTCTTACCTGTGCCAAGAAACAGGGTTCCTTAATTTAACTAGTGTGTCTCTTAGATAACAATATGCTTAGAAAACCGTAAGATTTTGTTTTGAAAATCGGGTATAGCCGCTTAGGAAGAATGTAAACTCCCAAAGCATACCAGATTCCTCTTTTTAAAAAGCTCTAATACTGTCAGGGAACAAAATCCTAAATACTCCAGCCTAAAATACAGCATTTTAGGCCTAATCTACACAGAGAAACATAATGGTGTATTTATATGCAGAACTCTAATGCTACATTAACTCCATATGTGTATTTTTCTATAACTGTAACCATTTATATAGGAAATGACGGTGGTACAGTTTTAAGGTTAAATGTAGAAACCCCTCATTTGGCAGGTGATAACTTTTTGATATCAAAGTAGCCTCACTACCTAGAACACTGTAGTGTTCTAGTGTAGTGTTCTACACAGCCCTGTCCTGCTCAGATCTCCAGCAAACACGTCTGTCTAACCATTCTCACACAACAGTTGCTTGGATCTGATAATGCACGTCTGGCATCAACAGGCCCCTTAAATTACTGTATTTTCTCCTCCAAAGAAATGTTCACCCATTTAAATAATAGAGTAGAGCACCTAGGCTTTGCCTTGTGTTTTTTTCAGTGGGATTTCACCATACGCAGCAGTACGCAGTAGAACAAACTTAATTAAAATGCAGTAGATTATTATATTTAATAATATTTCATTTTGTCTTGATCTTCTTATTGCGCACAGTGGCTGCTGTTTACAGGCTTCTAATAATGGAACAATTATAGTCTAATTTTTATTACGCTGGTATGTCGTACGTATTTTTTAAAAGAGAGACCTTAAAAGAATAAGCCCACAGGCTTACCTTTTTGTTCAGCTGTTTTAAAAGTTATTTCAAG